CAACCTAAGAGCGATGGCCTCCAACCTAAGAGCGATGGCCTCCAACCTAATAGCAATGGCCTTCAACCTAAGAGCGATGGCCTCCAACCTAATCGCAATGGCCTCCAACCTAATTGCATTGGCCTGGAACCTAAGAGCGATGGCCTCCAACCTGCTAGCGATGGCCTCCACCCTAGTACCCTAGTAACAATGGCTTCCAACCTAATTAGCAATGGCCTCCAACCTAATCGCGATGTCCTCCAACCTAAGAGCGATTGCCTCCAACCTAATAGCGTTGGCCTCCAACCTAAGAGCGTTGGCCTCCAACCTAATAGCAATGGCCTCCAACCTAAGAGCGTTGGCCTCCAACCTAAGAGCGATGGCCTCCAACCTGAGAGCGATGGCCTCCAACCTAGTAGCGATGGCCTCCAACCTAATAGCAATGGCCTCCAACCTAATAGCAATGGCCTCCGACCTAATAGCAACGGCCTCCAACCTGCTAGTGATGGCCTCCAACCTAATAGCGTTGGCCTGCAACCTAAGAGCGTTGGCCTCCAACCTAAGAGTGATGGCCTCCAACCTAAGAGCAATGGCCTCCAACCTAAGAGTGATGGCCTCCAAAGCGCGCTCCACACTGTCTCCTTGGCCCAACGTTAGTATTTTGGCGCATCAGTTGTGTTTGTACTTGCTAGCTCTCGCATTTTGCTCTCATTCTTTTTGTCTTTGTTGTTTGCCCTTGGCTCGCTGATCCCTCACATGATGATTCAAGGGGTGACTTTACTTAGACTGTCAGACTCACTTGCTGGCATTGCCTGGGACTGCCTGAATCTGTTCTTGGCAGGTGCACACTGTGACGAAAGATCAATTATTGAAACGACCTGCAAATCTTCCCATTTTTGCCAGCTTTCTGAAGCAGAAAGTTCGCTGCTTGGCTGCTTGGTAGCTGGTTCTACCCTGGGAAAACGCACTGCAAGCAGTAAGCAAGTGTGGCGAACCCATATTGGGGTCAGCTGATGGTGGGTTTTCAGTGCTCAATCAGCAAAGATCCACTGTTGAGACCAGGTAAAAACGGTCTCCAAACTTCCATGAACATCGCACCTATGCATAGTCCTAGATAAAGTTGTTCTTCATGTCTTCCTTGGTCAGTGTCTTTGATTGCCCCTCCTGTGATATTTTCCTTCATGGCAGATATGGCAGGTTGCACTTTGCTTGCAAGAGCAAACTTTCCCACCGAGCGAGGCAGGTGTATGTCGACGCATGTGTGTGAGGTGCTTTCAGCCAGAGTCAGCTAAACTAGCAAGCAGGTATGCCGGATACTGGATCCTATGACAGTTTCTTTGAAAGGCCTGGAACTGTTTTTTGAACATTACAGAAACCTCAGGTCATATGGACGAAAGCAGGCTGTGCATGCCACTGCAAATGCATGTGCAGAAGCATGATTGCATGGATCAGATTTGTCTTCGATAGCTGTGAGGTGGGGTATCAATCAGCTGGACGTTCCGTTTGCCGATGGCGTCTTGCCTGGATTCATGGATATCAATGATATCAATATAATATATCATGATTATACCATCATGATATTATCATCACCCACAGGTAAACTGGGAACCCCGCACCTATGAGGTATGAACCAAATACACCTGAACAGTCCAACGATTCCCCAACTTGTGCGCCTGCTCATGGCCGTGTCTCCATCTGAGGTACTGCGCCACCAAAAAAGCTGGTCTCGCAGCTCATCTCATCAGTGGAACAGCTGCTGAAAGGGATTGCTTTGACTGATGGTCCGGAGGAGAAGAACAGTTCAGAATCACATATATACTGTAGTCTTGACCTGTTCCATGCAGACTCCCTTGCTCTTCTTTTAATCAATCTCTCATGTTTCATCAGAGATCAGATAAGGTTTTTCAATCTGATGAAGTGCAACATTTCCTTGCAGACGCTGCTTGAAAGGACACCGGCGAGAGATGCAAACCTGAGTGTGATGTAGTCTCGGCATCTCAGATGCAAGAAGGGGGTTCGTGTCGTATACACAATTCATATAGAAATGTGTCCAATCACTGCTTTTTGGCCTTTCGATGAACAACCATGCCAGTATGTTTGCAACAAAGTGCTGAACACCTGCAAAAAAAAATGTTGGAGCATGTGATTTCCCCATGTCATCTCTCCACTGGCTTGCATTTCAAATCCGCGTTTCATGGCAACATATTGTTTTTGTTCAAAATTCATCGCTGGATACTGCACATTTTTTCGGGGCTCTCAAGACGCACTTTGCAATTTCGCCATAGTGACATGTGAATTTATATATAAATGAAGTGCTCAATTTCATTTGCTTGGTCCAACAGTGTTCATGCCACAACAAATCTTTACTGCTGTGTTCCCACCTCCAACAATATCGTTGCAAGCACTCGAACAACTGAGTGCTTACATCACCGCTGGAGTCAAGCAAGGTGAAGGTTGCTTGCGGCAAAGAAGCGAGTAGGCCCCCACCCCCTCACCCTCCTTTCCCGAAGACATTCGAGGGGCAAGTGTGTTTGTGTGTGTGTGTGTGTTGGCTGGTGTAAATGAGAACAACAAGAGAACTGCAACACAACTTCCAAAATAGAACACAAACGAGAATGATGCAGCAGGAACCAACAAGATACGTGGCTAAATGTCACCAACAGCTGTGATTTGCATCAAAACTGCAAACTGTTACAGTAAACTGAGAAGGTGCCGACTTTGATGAGGAATGCAACAACATGGGAAGGAATCTTTTTGATTTGCTGAAAAGCGCATGACTACTAGCGCGGTTGTTTTCCTGCTAACATAATATGTCCAGGTAGACGTCATTTGGTGCCTTTGGGCTTTCGATGTTGTGCTGAGCTCGAACAGCTTCAGGTAGTGGTTCACTGCAAGTCTGGCCTGGGCCGGTCGATGGCGCTGCTGGCGGCTTTGGCGATAGCCTTTTGCCCAGGCCAGAGAAAGGAAACCCAAATCGGCGGAAATGGTTCTCCGATGCAGGAATTTGCACGTGTTTTCCAACATCTCCAGCATGGTAAGGGCAGGCAAAAACATCCGTCAGCAATCGAACCTTTCGGCACTGTGAAAGAGGTCTGACCGCTGGAGCCTTCTTTGGTTGGGCACGGTTGGTACGACCTGCTTGCCTACAGACTCCAATGCAAGAACGATTTCTTAGATCGCTGGATGAGTTCCTTGGGCTTTTGCAGCACATCTCACGGACCAACAGAGAAGACCACCAGAGATGAACTTGGAAAAACTGAGGACCCCGGACTGCAACTGCTTCTTTGTCACTCGGTCGTTTTTTTGGTTCACATTCAGTGATCTCACTCGAATTCAATCATGTTCTCATGCAAATCATCGAAGCTCCTGAAGTTCGTTTCTCTCCGAGGCATGTTTCAAGAGCAAGAAAGTCACGTCCCCCACGGTGATCTCTGGCGGATCTCATGGCCACTAGGCTGCAGAGGGACCCCCCCAAAAATGCTGATCAGTGGGAACACAGCTTTATGAGATTTTGTGCGTGCTCCTGATTCTGGAGGTACAACAGATACAACCATCTCAGTCTGACTTTAACTGTCAAGTGAAGTGGAATGCAAAGCAACAGACTTTGCAACACTGTGTATAGATCCTGCATCTTCCATAGGTTTAGCTCGCAGACGCCTTGCACAGAATCATATTTGCTCAATTTGGGGGCATCTACCCATGCATCAGAGGTCAGAGTGGCCCCAGATTGCTCTGAGAGAGCACAGCTGCTCAAATGGAAGTGGCTTTGCTCTGAGAATACAGAAGCCGCAAAAAGCTGAAACAGGTAACCATTTACCATGATCCTGACACAAGAAAAAGTATTCAAGCCAAAGAGCAGTCTTTTTGTCAGTATTGAGTGAACGATCTGCGGGCACAACACCAGGAGATTTGGCATCGCTCGAAGGTTGGGTGCTTCAGTGGTGGTGCTTCTGAAGCGAAATCAACACGCACACAGTTATATAATCATCTGAATGCAGATAATCAGACGACGAGCCTCCACACACTGGCCAAGAACTGACCGGATAGATGCAAGCAAGGTGCATCGACTCCACTGTGAAAATGGATGCTGAGCACGTAAAACGGCAGTTCTCCTGGTTCCAATTGGAAAGCAGTTGTGTTGGACCTGCTGCAGCTGTGTATAGCCTCCTGATCACGGAGGAAATGAGATGTTGACCGAGAGACGAACAAAAAAGAAGAGAGGTTGGGTTTGAATCCAACAAGTCTTGCTTCGTCCACGTTACGGTTGCTACTTTCAACGAAGTACGGATGTCCATACTGTGATCACAATACCACACCCACGCTTGGCCCACCCCGGCAAAAGCCTTGTATAATTATATATTGATTGGCCTAAATTCTACCAGCGGTTTTGATGCAGTGCCTACAGTCCAGAGCAACTAGCAAAGAACTGGATCTTGCTTGCAACACTTGAGATAGCCGTAGACGACAGCCATGCTTGCTGCGCAGGCGACCCAAAGGATGAACAAATCTCCAAGCTCAACAAAAAGAAAGAAGAGTCGAGCAATTTCGTGCCCCATTTGCCAGGCATCAGCTGCTCACCCTTTGCGGCCATGGCAAGGAACATCTCCATCTCCAGGCTTCACCTGAGTTGTGCCACCGAGAAATCGCCACTGACTACTGACTTTCTACCCCGGGAAAGCTTTGTTCACTTGTTGCTGCTAGGTTACTAGGTCTTAGGATGTCTTAGGTCTGGAAGACGGCCCATTGTGACAATATGCTAGCTGCTAGTCTGAAGGACTTGGTGCATCCCCGGCCTCAGCCAGCCAGCCTGGCCGGCCCAAAGTGGCGGGTGCAGCGCTCGTGGCTGTTGCGCATTTCCTGCGACGGCCCAGGAGGCAGGCACCAAGACACGAGAAATCAAGACCCCGAGATGTGAAGAAGTGCCTTAGGAGTGCGGAGAGATGTAGTAGCATGTAGTAGCCAGCACCGAGACAGAAAGAGGATTAGCAGTGCTTTGCCAGGTGTATGAGACGCGTGCTTCAACCATTTGCTATTGAGCCCATCAACCCCTTCGCAGCAGAGATGCAAGCTACGCTGCCGTGTGTTGGAGTGCCAAGCAAGAGATTGTAAGAGGTTGCTGCTTCGATTGTCGCATTTGTTGACTTGGTGACGGTAATGCGCAAGAAGAAGCGCAAGCAGTTGCAGTCAATGCCAGGCTAACATCAAAGCGCTAGGTGGTAATGGCCTTGGCTTGCTTGATGTTCCTTGGCATTCAAATCTCATTTCTGCTCCAAAGGATTCCTGATACCAGCCCGTGTCGGCAGGCCGAAGGCGCCGGGAAAGAGCTCTCTACTTGCTGCAGCCTTGACAACTCGGGTCGGCGGTATCAAATCGTTGAGGAAAACACTTTTGAATCGTTGATGAATGGAGGACGTGGACGTCGTTTTCCGAAAGATCCGAGGCCGGACGTCGTTTTCTTCGACCAAGGCCTGGAGTCTTCTGGCATGGATCCCAGCGAGGAGCTTCCCATTGCTCCAGACCGTCCGCTCCGTGAGTCGCTATCGAAGTGGTTCGTTTCGTGAAGCTAGGTGAAGCTCAGTATTGCATGGTATTGCTAAGTATATTAAGATGTGTGATTCAGGTCTTGGATGCAAAAGCTTTTGCATGCTTTTGCTGTGTTTCCCATGATCCTTTTTCTCCATAGATGTTTTTCTCGAAGTCTTTTGTTGAAGAACACTGTGACTGTGACCTTCTGCGAGGAGAACAGACAAAAGTGGCGAGAGTTCTGCTACGGTTTGGAGAACTTGGGAGAGTCAGCCAACCATTTCCAGAGTCACCGGACATCTAGAGCATAGCTAGCAGCTGGTGGAAACACTTGCGGAGGTTGTGGTGCAAGCCACTCAGCCTTTGCTTCGAAGGTATTGCTCCGCGGTGTTGATGGAGGAGGAAGCCCTGAAGTTCACATCCAGCGCTGGCAGGCAGATGACAAGCATAGTGAGGATCGAGCTGTGGTGTTGCGGTCATGGTCAAGCACATCAACAGGACTCTACCACAGATTCTGTCTGATGCTGGGGTTGAAAGCTCAGTCAACCGAGTCAACCCTTTGTATACAACTAATATGGTTGTGGGTAGGTTTTGACCCATCCCGGCCCATCCCCGTACCATTCCATGTGAACTCTTTGTTCTACTGTGTTCCTGTGAATGCAGATGATGGAGACGTGAGGTGATGTCCGCTGTGCATCCGTCATGTTTATGCTTATGCAAGCAGAGCATTGGAACAGCCTCCCTGCGCTGTTCGCTGTTCGCTTCTCGCATGGGCTTTGCTGCGTAGCTGACATAGACATAGTGTATGTCGCCAAACATAGTCAGTGCAGTCTCGTGCCTCCACGCCGCATAGTCGTGTAGCAGCTTCTTGTTACTAGTAGCGATGCCAGGAGCCCCTAGTAGCGTCCTTGCTCCTAGTAGTAAGGCCAGGAGCCCCTAGTAGCTTCTTGTTACTGTGTGATTTCCCTATGAAATAGATTAGTGTACTACACGAGCCGTTCTTGTCGGTTTGTCGAATTCCATGCCAGATGCGGGTGGACCAAGGCTTCGTTCCGCACCTGTCCTAGCACTGTACCCCGGAGACCTCATATGTAGTGGACGCAGAAGCCGTTGAAATTGGGGAAGTCTGGGATTCACGTCTAAGGCTGAACAGCTTTGGCGAGAAAGCAACTGAAGGAATAGCAGGGGTCTCAGAAGTTACCCTGGGCATTTAAAAACAATATGCCATACTATGGCCATGTCGTCCATGACTCGTAGATCGTTTCTGTGTTTTAGGGCTTCGTGTGGCATGCGTGCTCTTTGTAAACTTGATTTCTCCACATGACTCAGCCCAACTTTAGGTGCTGCTTGAGGAACGCTGCGAGGCCATGCAAACTGGGCAAGTACAGCAAGCAGCTGCTTTTGGTAGACATACTGACCTATTTGTAGCTGCTACACGATCTGTTGAGGGGTAGACTCTTGGCTGTGAGGAGACAGGTTTCTTTATCCTCGTTGAAATTTGCGCTACGAAATGGGGGAACCCGGGATCCTTACAAAACAGTTTTTGTGTAAGAAAACATGGTTTTGACTAAAAAATGGGGGGGTCATTCTATAGAGAAACAATGTTGCTAGCATCACTTTGCTGTATTTGGTTGTATGCGACACAGTCACCTGCACAGCACATGCTGTTGCTTCCACTCCTTGAAGCCTTAACAGCGCCGCACATTGCACTGTGCAGGACTTCTACGCGTCTGGGGTAAGGATTGCTAAGTGGCGGACGCAAGTTGAGGCTTGAACGTTTATTTGATGAAATCTGTGCGGTGCGTTTTTTTTTTTCCCATTTGTAGAATTTTGTAGAACCATATTTTAGGTCTTCCCATCCAATGCTTGGAATGTTGAAGTGGCCATGTCATCATGTGATAAAGACAAGCTTGATGTTAGGTTGGATGCCATCGCTACTAGTAACAAGAGCTACTAGTAAATGAGGTCTTGATGTGGAGTGTCGTGTCACTCAGCAAAGAGTCTGCGATTGCCAGTGCAACCTCGAAATGCCCACCGACGTGAGTGTTTGGGAGAACACCGATTGTCTTGCGAGAGCCGCGCGGGTTTGTCAGGCAGGACATGGTCGGACAGGGCGGACAGGTTCTCAGGGATCCCATGCCCTACCGGGAGGTAGGCAAAACATGAAACCCATGTTTCACCTTGCCTCACCAGTTCAGAATCTGACTGAGTCTCGCCTTGCACTTTAGCTCAAAACACAAAAGCCTGGATGGAGTAGCGCTTTGGGACACAGTTTGCAAAAGGCAATCCCTAGCTACATGAGTTCTATTCAAAACAGCACTTGCTCCCGAGACACTGCAGTTCTTCCTCCTGGACTAAACTCCGCACCCCTTGATTCTTGCTCCTCTCCGTCCTGGTAACAACCTAGCTTTCATCCATCCCCTTCTCGACTTAGCTGGATGCCCAGTCACCCTGGCCTCCATGACTCCACTGTTCGGTGTTCGGTGGGTCGTTCCTTTTCTCGACCCCTTGTGCGGGGTTGCCTTCCGTGCTTGTGCCAGCATTGCATTTTATCCCAGCAACAATGGTCAGAGTGAACACGGACTGTCTACTATTCATGCATATTTGGAAGACATATGAAGACATTCAGTTGATGTTCGGTTGTTTTACTTGTGCAAGTCAGCGACAAACATCGCGGTGTCCTGGAGGAGAATGGCTTAGCCTTTATTGCAGAGATCCAGACATCCCAGAACACAGGGAGCGATCCGACATCCCCGAGTTTCTTTGTATTCCTCAGCTCGTCGCTTCACGGACGAGTTTGATTTATGCACAGGAGCCACTCAATGGAGAGGACTTCTTACGTGTGCGAGAAGGCGACGGTGGACGTTTTGCACGTCTTCGCATCATTCAAATCAACACTGACATGCTGGCGGAGAAGCCATGGCACAAACTCTCTAGGACCCTAGGATAGCCTAGCCCAAACATCGCTGATTCTCATCAAGGAGAGACATGGAAATTATGGAGAGACATGGACACAAGATCAATTTTTCAATGCATATACCACGACCTAAAGTTGGAAGCTGCTTTACTGCTTTGTGAAGCCAACCACACACTAGACTGACCATCCAACAGCAGACAATCGAACGAACTCCTGCCGGAATGGCTGCCTTGCGTGTTGCTGGCGTTGCCTTCCGAAATTCTCGGCAGCTGCAAAGATGGAGCTGCTGCAGACCTGTTTGCAGCTCAGTATCCAAACCTTTACTCTGCAACGACGCAAGATGATCTCGGAGGGCACGCATGGCCATTTCATTGATCCTTTCTGTTTCAAGCGGCTCAGGTGATTCGGTGGCCCTCCCACATCCGGTGTTTTGCCCAGACGCCTGGGCCCATGGCACCACCACGGAATGCGGAAGAAATGCAGAAATTCATCAACGAATATGATCCTTGGCTTGAAAGACCCACACAGCATGGCGCCATGGATCAAAAGGTGGCCGCAGATTTGCTATAAGGATCAAAAGGTGGCTGCAGAAGAGGCTGCTGAATCCTCGTTTTGGAGGAGGTTCAACTCCAACGTCGGCGCTTGGCTTGGTGCTGTGGTTGCTGGCGGGATTCTTTATGTGCCACTCAGACAGAGTTTGGGAAAGGGCGCAATCAGACTGCTGAAAAAAGCAGCTGGCAGATTTGCAGGACAAAACAACACAGGCCGATCTGATTCTTTTTTTGTCTTTGTCTGGCTGCCTGGCTTAAGCTGCAATCATCCAGTGGTGACATTGCACTCGAGGCTTCATTGTGTAGACGATGTGTCTAGCACCCTCAGCGATGTATGGGGCTCCTTTCTCCGCTTCTTGGCTTCAAGCCTGAGTGACAAGCCTCTCTTCAATGGGAAAATATGTGGCATTGTCAAAACCCTTGTGAGGTGCAAGTTGGGTAGGTGCCAGAAGGAATTCTTTCCTTTCACCACTCAGGACAGCTCTCGGAAGAGTCACAGCGGAAAATACTACTGCAAGCTGCACGGTGGCGTGTATTGCCCAAAGACATGGACAAGGACTAGTGACTAGTCAATCCAGGTGTTGTCAACAACGGAAAATCCGTCTTACGTAATCCTGGAAGGAGCCGAGATCAATAGTCTGCAAGACCCAAAGATCTTGACTTGATATTTTTGTTCAATCGGTTGAGCAAGGACGCTATTAGGTGGAGGCCATCGCAAGTAGGTTGGAGGCCATCGCTAGGAACGTAACAAGAAGCTACTAAGATTCCTTTTACTCCATGAGTGATCGTACTTTTCCAGGATGATCCGTACTTGGTGACTGAGCCACTGGAGGGACTCCGGTTCTTCGCACCAGTGGGTTTGGCCCCGGGCCTTGACCCACTGGGTGAAGGCATCACTGCTTTCTTCGATCTTGGCTTTGCCTTTGTGGAGGTTCCCCGGCTTTACCTGAGGCTTTGCAGCTTTGCCTTCGAAAATTGCATCTCAGTTTTGGTGCACTTCGGAGATCTACTGTAACACTCAATCAAGAGTTGACTCAGAAGAACTGCTCAAGGTAGGGCCTGTTGCGCCGGGGAGCAGTGAGAGCGCAGCCCTTGCACACACCCTCAGCACAAGGGACTCTAGCCAGCAGATAGCGCGTTTTGGGCTACTGGGGGCATCCATTGGAGGCAGCAAAGAGGACGGAGCTGTTGGGCCGGGTGGAGAAAGGATAGAACCGTTTGGGAGCTTCAACCTAATAGCAATGGCCTTCAACCTACTGGCGATGACCTCCAACCCAGTCAGCCAGCCAGGAGCTCCTTGAACAAATCTCCTCTTTGGGGTCTTACGTGCGATACTTCGCAGTTGATGCCGAGCATGTGCGGGACGTCGATGCCCTGCCCAAACTCATGCGTGAGCTGACCTTGGCAGCGCTGAAGCTCCCTGGCGGTCCTCGAATTTTCCTCAGGTCCGTGAGCTGCACTCGATCAGATTTTGGGCCAAGCCAACAGTCTAGGCATGACTGATGAAGACATGAAGTCGAGGCAAATTGTAATGAAAGGATGGAACATATGGCAAGTGCTGCATGGCACAGGCTTCCTGCCTGCTGGCCAGACGCTTCAGTGGATCATGAAGCTAGAGCCTTGGTGTACAAAAGCACTCCCGCATACAAGTTGTCGAGCTTCAGGAAAACTGTCTCAAAAACAATTGCGCAACTTTTTATTTTTGCTGCACTCCAGGCCCGCTGCTCTGCAGTTGGGGCACTTGCGGAAGCGCTACGCAGCAGTGAATCTGCAGGGCTCATTCTTTGCACGGGACCTTAGTGCACAGTCTTTATTAGTCTTTATGTAGGAACCCTTTTGATGACCAAGTACCCTTTATAGTTTACTCTTACATAATATAGTTATATAAAGTAGTTATATATATATATAAATATAATGCGTATTTATAACATTCCAGTTTGAACCAGACGCTCTATGGCAATCCGTGGTTATCAGTGAAATTCAGAGTTGTAGGGTCAGGTCTTGACGGAGCATTTGATTGTTTTCCTGGACTGCTCACATATTCGTGTGTGCGATCACATGTCATGGACCGCCTGCTACTGTGGCCCAATCTTGCAGTTTGCGTGTAGTCCTTACGATGTCACATTGATCTTTGGGGAGATGATGCTGTCCTTACTGCCCCGTAGCGGAGTGCCTCCATCGCTTCGCTCCCTTCCAACCAGGCTGCTTGTTGAAACGAGAGTAACGATCCGCGATCCATCTAGATTCCACATTCAACATTGACTCCAGAAAGGTCACTTACTGTGTGCAGCTGTTTCATTTTTGTGTGTGTGTGACCAAACACATTCCAACACTAAGATTGTACTCGTACCTGTTTGGAAGTGCTGCTGGTTTTTGGGCTTGGAGCTTCAATCCCTTTGCTGCCTTGAGGCAGCCAACTCGCCACTACTTCTTGGCTGGAGCTGTGGCTGCAGCGGCGGTTCCTTGGGCATGCGCCAGGCCGAATCGCATTGACTCTGACTGTTTGGGGTAAAATCCCAATGTCAAGCTGTTTTGGATGCTGAGCAGGATATACCAGCAACCAAGCCAGCGGCCTCAGCGTCGCTTGCTTTCAAGATGCGAAGGCCAAAGCTGCTGGCCGAGAACTCTGAACTCTTTCTTTTTTTTAAACCCTTGACATCTATTGGCCACGTCTCACAGGTGGAGCGACGCCCAGTGGTCTGCGAATTGACTTCTGTGGTCGACCCGCCAAAGGCCCCACGAGTTGATCAATCAAAATATGGCAACATTCTCCCAGTCACCAGTAGTGCTTGCAATCTTAAAGCCATTTGATCGATGATGATATCATTCATACTGCTGCAGACCCTGCTGAGTCTCGTTGGGATTCCATTTTGACTTTTGTTCACGCAGGATTCACCCCGATTTTCTACTCGGACCCCGTCACGAACACTGCCTCAGTGAATGCAGGAGATTACAACTTGAACCTCGGTGTTGAGGTTTGTTCAGAGAATGGTGGTGGGAAGATGGTCTGGCATGATCCCACTCTTTGCTTAATGCATCTTAATTCTGTTTGCAGACAACTCGCAATCAATCCATCGCTGAGGTATGTGGGAGGCGGCTCCATCAACCTAGCTTTTGCTAAGGAGCTTGGTCAAAATCCAAAGTCCAATGGCTACAAGGAGATGCACGAGGCCTTTCAGTTGGCCGGTCAACCAGCAGGATCACAACCTCTTTCAATATTTCTAGAAGTTATCAGAAGTTACCAGAAACACACGACTGCATGACAATTTGTTTCGATCCTTGAAAGATTGATCACATTGGCCGAGCTGCGAAGTTTTGCGCATGTAGGAAGATTTGCGCAAAGAAAAGCCATCCTTCAGGCACTTCTCGCGGCTGCTGCAGATGCTCCTGGCCGTTTTGTCAGTGGTTCCAACGTGCCCGAAGCTGAACCTCGGGCCGAAAGGGCCGAAAGGGCCGAAAGGACGTGAAAGGGAGCCCCAATACGGTTTGGCGCCAAACACATTTGCCGTTACTTCTTTGTACTTTACTGTACGAGAGGGTGTAATATACATATATATATATACATATATGCATACATGTACAGAGGTAAGAAACGTGGTTCTTGAAACATTTCCGGCAAAGGACAAGATTCGAGCGCAGCTGGGCTTGTTGGGCTGCTTTGCAGCTTGGCATTATATAATAGTATGGAACGGCTTGAAGATCAGGGCTTGGCCTTACAAATGACTTTAGAAAAGATTTGAAATGCGAGTGTCGTTGGTTTGGGCTGAGGCTAGATTGCCTGAGGGAAGAGCAAAAGGAGATTTGGATCCCGTTGGCGCGGCTTTCCTTGACATATTTGGGACGGAGCGGCCATTGAGTCCCAAACTTAAATGCTCATGGAGTCCTAAATGCACCTCATTGTGCAGTTCATTTTTCTTTCTCTCGATCAATGGTTCATTCATGTGTGCCCTGAGTGCGGTGGCAACAGGTCAGAAGAACGTGGCCATGTTGTATGTGGTTGGCCCAAAAGGCCGGGATTTGAGCGAAAGTTTCGCACATGAAGCTCGTACTTTTGGGCGTGGGCTTAAGGCACTGGTGCTCCTGGAGGGCATGGCCCTACCATAGATTCCGCTGCACAGTTCCTAGAGAAAGTGGCAGAGATGGCGCAGAACGCCCTTGCACTTGTCGCTGCTTACAATGATCAAATTGAGGACCTCAGAGATGTTGCAAACAGCACACAAAGATTGATTGCATTAATGAATGTTGACCACCACCGTTCAAAAGCTTCCATGGCTTTGAAGGATTGCAAATTGGAGATGCCAAGAATTGAAACTCTTCAGTTTTGCTGCTTTGATTTGCTTGGTTGCATTTGGCAATGTCTTTGGCAGAGAGGTAGATTATATATATAACAAGATTTTGGCTCTCAGGCTTGGTGTCTGGTGGAGTCTATATGCATCCTGAAAGCACCAAGAAGGATGTGGCGAAGGCCATCCTTCAGGGGTTGCAGTGCGGAGTTCATGGCAAGGCACTTCCCGTTGCATCTCAGCAGCAGCTTTGATCTAAGTTCCCTGAGTTGAATGACCGTCACTCATCCTTACCTAGTAGCGTCTTGCTATTAGTAACAAGTGCATCGCTACTAATAACAAGTGCATTACTACAAATAGCAAATAGCTATATACTAGTAGCTTCTTGCTACTAGTAGCAATGCACTTGTTCCTAGTAGCGATAAACTTGCTACTGTCCCTGAGTTGAATGACCGTCCCCTCATCCTTTCCAATTCTTTGTCGTACTCCGCTTGCACAAGGTGCGCTTTGCGTACGACTCCCACTGCTTTGAGGATGCCGCAGCTGAGATGTCGTAACGGGCAGAGGCTGAGATGTAGTGCATCGAGGAGTCCAACACGTCGTGCCGGTCTTGCGGACACGTTTGGCGTTTGATCGGTTCTCGTGGACATCATGAGTGTGCAGCTGGTATGGCAAGCCTCCTTGACATGCTCTCCGAGCAGCAGTCCATCTCCATGGCAGTGGTGAGCAGTCTCACAACACTTATAAGACAAAAAGGAGCGTTGGAACAGAAAGCAGGGCAGCATGTGTGATGGATTCTTTTGTGGCGTGTCTAGTTGCTTCACTCTGTGTGAGGTCACGATGATGCAGCTGCAGATTGCAGGGGCACGGAGGTCATGCTTAAAGTTTGCCTTCCAAGCAGTTCGATGCCCTGAGAATGAAAGGAGACCCGACGAAAGCATCGAGACTTGATCTCGGCAGCATTTCAGCGAACGAAGGCTGTGGATGGGCCCCGGTCATTCCCGAGTGTCCATGGCTGCAGGAAACCGCGGAATGGCACAAGGATAGATAGAACCTAGACTAGAGGACTTGTGCTCTGAGAAACTGAGAATACCAGCAGTGCCGACCAAGCTTGTCTTGCAGTTTTTCGTTCCCCTTTACACAAGCTTGCCAGGGTGACATTGTCATCATTGCCAGCGGCGGCATGCGTCATGGCCGGGATGCGCTTGATGCTGCTGCTTGGCCCCAAAAAACGCGTTTGCAAGATAGTAACAAGTGCATTACTACTAACTACTAGTAGCTAGAAGCTACTAGGTTGGAGGCCATCGCTATTAAGCTACTAGGTTGGAGGCCATCACTAGTAGGTTGGAGGCCACTACTACTAGTAGCTAGAAGCTACTAGGTTGGAGGCCATCGCTAGTAGGTTGGAGGCCATTTCTGCTCGTAGTAGCTAGAAGCTACTAGGTTGGAGGCCATCGCTAGCAGGTTGGAGGCCATTGCTAGTAGGTTGGAGTTGGAGGCCATCGCTAGTAGGTTGGAGTAGGTTGGAGGCCGCCGCTTGTAGTTTGGAGGCCACTACTGGTAGTAACTAGGCTGCCGCTCGTCGTTTCTTGCTGAATCAACCAGATGATGTGGTGAGTCATTTCTTGACCATTGCCTCCAAATACTTTCCAAGAGCTAATACGTCTAAGGGCCCTGCCACCTCACTTACTGTAAGACTTATTTGTCTAGGTTAGGTTGGGCGATTGGTCAGTTTGGCCAGTTGCAGGTCTCTGCATTCATTCGTTTTCCTTTGTTGCAATGCCCTTGGCATACTCTTGTTTGGTTTGCAGAGAAAGCTTGGCAAGATCGCCTTCTGTCTCTCCATTCTCATCGTGCCTCTCTGGCTAATTACCCAAACATTGATCAGCACTTAACTCGCAAAGTATTGGCGCGTTTCTCCCCAACAGATCGTCGCTTGCTTGTGCGTGAAATTGCGGGAGCTTTCCAGACTCGTGTCCAACAAGCAATCTGGGACTCCAAGGCCACTCCTGTATGCCGATGGTGTGGCAAAGAAGACACAAAAGCCCATAGGTACTTCTGCTGTACTGCCACTCAGTCAGTTCGTGCACCGATCAGCTCTTTGCTCGAGAGTTTAGCATCCTTTGACTGTTTATGGCCAGAATTGCCGGTCATGTTTGAGGACCATGCAGATGACTTTCGGCTTACCTTCCAATTCGCCTTGTAGGGAGACCTTCTGCACTACTTGACGACTTGGTGACATGTTTCGATGCCTCTGCGCCCCTGCATGTCTACACGGATGGGAGCTGCCAACATCCCACTTGGCCGACCCTTCGTTTCATTGATTCTTGTCGTAGTGACGCAGAACGCATATGGCATGCTCAGAAATACAAGGAGACTGGTCTTTGGCCAACCACCCTCCATGTCATTCTGCAGGAACTCTGTCCGCGCGAGCAGAATATTCACCATGCTGAACTTCGGGGTCTCGTCCGAGCGCACGAGCTTTTTCGCCACGCCATCATTCATGTGGACTCTTCTAGTGCCATTGCCACCTTTAAGAATGCGGTGCGCATTCGGGGTAAGCAATTGCACAGGTATGTTCAACCAGCTTTGCGTGCTCGCATCCAACGCTTGGATTCGTTAGAGGTGAACCAAATTGTTAAAATCAAGGGTCATGATAACTCTGCCTCCCTACCAGACCTGGATTGTTATCACAGCTTGGGCAACGCTGTCGCTGACCGTGCGGCAGTGGAGGTTTGTTGCCGCTTGCTGCCTGCGCTTACCGATAGTTGGGAAGCCAATGCCATCGCTCGTAAATTAGAGGTAGATCAATCGTACGAGTTTTACCAGCTTTCGTTGGCCTTGCAGAAGCACCGTAAACACTTTATATCCTTTTTGTACCTGCATCCATGAACCCGGAAGAATCTCATCCTCAGCTCCAAGCTGGGGTGACGGCAGCGTTCTTAGCTTCTTGGCATATACCGGAGCCTTGGTCCTTCTCTTTGGAGGACGCTCAAGAGAATGCATTTTTCTCTCATGGCTATTGGGGTACTAGTCTCTTGACATGTGTCTTGAAATGGCTTCATGAACTTCGCTGGGCGTCTGAAGCTGGTGCAGTCGCGCAGGCCACCATTGGCGTGTCATGGATGGAACTCGTTCTTAGCTTCATGATCTTTTCGCAAAGCTATATTCCTGTGCGCAGAAGAAATGCTAAAGGGGAGAGTTCTTTTGCTTGGGCCCACTCCAGTGCAGAGGCAAAAGCCTTTAGCTACACTTGGAATGAATGTGCAACCCAATTTGCCCATATCGTTCAGCAGACGATCTCGCTGAGTGGGTGTTCACCCATACCGGACTATGTCCATAGTGCCAGAGTGTGTTCACTCTATAGACAGGGTGCTGGCACCTGCGTGTTTGGATGGTCACATAGACCGAGCTTCCCCGTGCAAGCGGAAGTTTGTCGGATCATTGAGTCCACTTTTCGCAAGCGCGCAAGACCTTTGTCGTACAGCTGGTGGCCCGAGCTTGAGTGCACCTGCACAGCTTCTGATTGTTTGTACGAATGGACTGCTCCACGAGGCTCATTTAACGTCTTGCAGAAAAAACTGAAGTTGGGCAACCGTTTGGCCAAGTCAGTCCGTGCCAATGGTTGACCTGTGACTCTTCTTCATCCTGGTCCTCCTATTCTGAGCATTGCATGCCTTTCATTTGCTTGTTTCCGGTCTGACACTTCGCCCCCTCCCTGCCACCTGAGCTAGGGGGGGCCCCTCTCGCCAAGGAAAAGCCATCGCTAGTAGGTTGGAGGCCATTGCTACTAGTAGCTAAAGGCTAGTAGGTTGGAGGCAATCGCTAGTAGGCTGGAGGCCATTTCTACTAGTAGCTAGAAGCCATCGCTAGTAGGTTGGAGGCCTGTACTACTAGTAGCTAGAAGCTACTAGGTTGGAGGCCATCACTAGTAGGTTGGAGGTCATCGCTAGTAAGGTTGGAGGCCATTACTACTAGCAGCTAGAAGCTACTAGGTTGGAGGCCAGCGCTAGTAGGTTGGAGGCCATTACTACTAGTAGCTAGAAGCTACTAGGTTGGAGGCCATCGCTAGTAGGTTGGAGGCCATACTACTAGTAGCTAGAAACTACTAGGTTGGAGGCCATTGCTAGTAGGTTGGAGGCCACTACTACTAGTAGCTAGAAGCTACTAGTAACAAGTGCTAGCTATTGTTATGAGTAGTGTTCCGAGTCTTGGCTTTGAGGTTGAAGCTGGTGCAACGGTGCCTGACCGCACTTAGTCGGGCTTTCTTTACTTCTCGACATGTGCTTCTGTAAGCTGTTTTGTGTCTAGAGCTGCACCAGATCCTTCTACACCGTGCGCCTCATGGATCCTCTTGTGCCATAACTATAACCAGATGCGGGTATACGTTTCATGATTTGAATGACCCTGACAGGCAGTGCAAATCTCATCAATTCTCTTGACTGAAGGCGCTTTCACACAAGCAGTAGCAAAGACGCTCACCACTGGAATCAAACAACCGGCTTGCACTATTCTTCTGGCTGTGGCATATATAATCTCATTATGACAGACTATTGACTATTGCAAGTTCAAGATGCAGGACCCCGTGCATGTCGGCGGATCAAGGATGAGGTCGCCCAGCTTCTCATGCAGGAGGCCAGGGTGAAGTAGCGTAGGAAAAACATATCTCGATGTGTTCTTCCAGGGCCACGAGAATTTGCAGTCGTTGGTGGGGGTTGCGGTCCTCCGACAAACAGGCAAGGACGGTAGATAGAAGAAGCCAGAAAGGGCTACTTGTTGATCAGTGAGCCGAGTGTGTGGGTTCGACGTGCGCAGGCCGGATGAAGCCAAAGAAGAAAAGGCACTTTGATGGTAGAAAGAGAGAGAGAGAGAGATAGATAGATAGATAGATAGGGGTCAAGCTGCGTACTGTGCCTGTTCTGGCGATGGCGGTGGCGTTTGTCGCGGCATCGGCCGTACGAATGATGTCTGCGCGTTGTCCTGCAATGTACTATGTTGCGTTTCTTGTTCAGCCATGCTGTTACTGAACTTTCGGCTTGCGCTGGCTCTCCGACTTTTGTAGACTGTGACTACGCCCGTGCAATCCCGCGCATAAGGACTGCTGCAGGCTTCCTTCGTTGCCCGTATATCCACAACCTTGTTGGCGTCGAAAGGATTCTGTTGCCAATAAGTGGTTGCCATCCATTGTATTGCTGTTCTCAACCTCTGCATCAACACCAAGCTGTGCACAGGTCCCTCGGCGGGCAGCTCAATCGCAACAACAGTAGGAAGGGGGTCTCTTCGCCCCACGTCAGTACGAAAAGACCTCAAGAGAGTCAACCAGACGTCTTCCAAGCACATGTCGCCAGACACATACAGGCAACGTTTGCATGCTATTGGTATCAGTGATGACCGTGGCAACAGCAACCGGAAGTTTAGCAGAATAGAGAACTATAGTTTCACCGTCGTTGCTTAGTGGTGATGTGTGGGAGCAAAGTGAGTCCCAGCTTGGTGACAGGAATCCATGGAAGCAGAAAGCATGAGAAGAGGCTCAACCACACTTGCCTTGATCCGTTTCATTTGACACGTCATTTGCAATGGCTGTTGCGAACGACTTGTTTTGTTCAGCTGTGGGCATAGCCATTGCTTGCGCTTCACAGGTTCCAGCAGCTGGTGTGAAGTGCGTCTTCGCACATCCAGCGAAGTGCGTCAAAAACAATGACCAGCCGCATCAGCTGTCGGTGCTGTGAATTCATTGCCATGACCAGAGGACGGGATTTGTCAATCAACGCCATAATTACTTGGAATCCACAAGACTTGGTT